AGAAATACTTCCTACTATCTCTCTGACTCATTTGTGTCTTCAACTTCCAATTGTGGCCTCTTGTTTGTGTCCCCTCCCTGGAACATCCTGTCTTTGTCCACCTTGTCTATTCCACGCAGTATTTTATATGTCGTTATCATGTCTCCCCTGACCCTCCTGTCCTCCAGTGTGGTCAGGCCGATTTCCCTTTAATCTTTCCTCATAGGACAGTCCCCTTAGCTCTGGAACTAACCTTGTCGCAAACCTTTGTACTTTCTCTAGTTTCTTGACGTGCTTTATCAAGTGCGGGTTCCAAACAGGTGCTGCATACTCCAGTATGGGCCTGACATACACGGTGTACAGTGTCTTGAATGATTCCTTACTAAGGTAACGGAATGCTGTTCTCAGGTTTGCCAGGCGCCCATATGCTGCAGCAGTTATCTGATTGATGTGTGCTTCCGGAGACATGCTCGGTGTTATACTCACCCCAAGATCTTTCTCCTTGAGTGAGGTTTGCAGTCTTTGGCCACCTAGCCTATACTCTGTCTGTGGTCTTCTGTGCCCCTCCCCCATCTTCATGACTTTGCATTTGGCAGGATTAAATTCGAGAAGCCATTTGCTGGACCAGGTGTCCAGTCTGTCCAGGTCTCTTTGAAGTCCTGCCTGGTCCTCATCAGATTTAATTCTCCTCATTAACTTCACATCATCTGCAAACAGGGACACTTCTGAGTCTAACCCTTCCGTCATGTCGTTCACATATACCAAAAATAGCACTGGTCCTAGGACCAACCCCTGTGGGACCCCGCTCGTCACAGGTGCCCACTGTGATACATCATTACGCACCATGACTCGTTGTTGCCTCCCTGTCAGGTATTCTCTGATCCATTGCAGTGCCCTTCCTGTTATATGCGCCTGTGTCAAAGGCCTTCTTGCAGTCCAAGAAGATGCAATCAACCCACCCCTCTCTCTCTTGTCTTACTTCTGTTATTTTATCATAAAACTCCAGAAGGTTTGTGACACAGGATTTGCCTTCTGTGAATCCGTGCTGGTTGGCATTTATACTCCTGTTCCGTTCCAGGTGCTCCACCACTCTCCTCCTGATAATCTTCTCCATAATTTTGCATACTATACACGTCAATGACACAGGTCTATAGTTTAGTGCCTCTTTTCTGTCTCCTTTTTTAAAAATGGGAACTACATTTGCCGTCTTCCATACCTCCGGTAGTTGCCCAGTTTCCAGGGATGTGTTGAAGATTGTGGTAAGTGGCACGCACAACATATCTGCTCCCTCTCTAAGGACCCACGGGGAGATGTTGTCTGGTCCCATTGCCTTTGAGGTATCAATGTCCCTTAGCAGTTTCTTCACCTCCTCCTCATCTGTATGTATGTCGTCCAACACTTGTTGGTGTATTCCTTGCTGGTGTCCCCATCTGGTCTGTCCCCCCAGAGTCCTTCCTGTCTCTACTGTAAATACTTCCTTAAATCTCGTGTTGAGCTCCTCACATACCTCTTGATCGTTTCTTGTGAGTTCTCCACCTTCTTTCCTCAGCCTTATCACCTGGTCCTTGACTGTTGTCTTCCTCCTAATGTGGCTATACAGCAGTTTCGGGTCAGATTTGACTTTCGATGCTATGTCGTTTTTCATACTGTCGCTGGGCCTCCCTCCTTATCTGTGCATACTCGTTTCTGGCTCTTCTACTAATCTCCTTGTTTTCCTGGGTCCTATGCCTCCTGTACCTTTTCCATTCTCTGTTGCACTTAGTTTTTGCCTCCCTACACCTTCGGGTAAACCAAGGACTCGTTTTGGTCTTCCTATTATTTCCGTTTCCCTTGGGAACAAAACTTTCCTCTGCCTCCTTGCACTTTGTTGCCACATATTCCATCATCTCGTTTACTGATTTTCCTACCATTTCTCTGTCCCACTGAACCTCCTGCAGGAAGTTTCTCATACCTGTGTAGTCCCCCCTTTTATAGTTTGGCCTGTCCCCTTCAGTTCCTGTTACCTTCTCCACTTGTAACTCTACTATATAGTCAAAACTCAGAACCACATGATCGCTAGCTCCAAGGGGCCTCTCATAAGTGATGTCCTCAATGTCTGAACTGCTCAGGGTGAACACAAGATCCAGTCTTGCTGGCTCATCCTCCCCTCTCTCTCTGGTTGTGTCCCTGACATGTTGATGCATGAGGTTTTCAAGTACCACATCCATCATCTTGGCTCTCCATGTTTTGGGACCCCCATGTGGCTCCAGGTTTTCCCAGTCGATCTCCCTGTGGTTGAAATCGCCCATTACCAGTAACTTTGCTCTGCTCGAGTGAGCTCTTCTTGCCACCTCAGCCAGTGTGTCCACCATCACCCTGTTGTTTTCTTCGTACTCCTCTCTTGGCCTCCTGCAGTTCTGTGGTGGTTATACATCACTCCAATGACTACTTTATGTTTCTCCGGACTGAATTGTACCTACAATGTAGTCTCTTTCCCTCCAATCATGTCCATGCCTTCCATTTCCTCAAATCCCCATCGGTGTTTTATGAGCAGTGCAACCCCTCCTCCCCCTCTACTCCTTCTATCTTTCCTCAGGATCTGATATCCTTTTGGGGAAGATTGTGTCTGTTATGTCTCAGCGAGTTTTGTTTCTGTGACTGCTATGATGTCTGGGGATTTTTCACTGATTCTTTCATTCCACTCCTCATGTTTATTCATTATTCCATCTGCGTTTGTGTACCAAACCTTTAGTTTCTTTTCTATCATTGTGGTCATGCAAGAATATTGGGGTTGGGGGAGCGAGAGCCTTGGTTGGGGCCTATATGGGGCTGTGGTGTAGGTGGGGTTTGTGTTGATGGGGGTGGGGTCAGAATGCCCATAAGGGACAGCTGTTGGGGTGAGGTTTGTGATATGGGGATTGGTGGCAGAGGGAACAGTGAGTGGGTTGTAGTATAGGTTGCTCAGTTGCGTTGGGAATGTCGCGGGTGGAGTCTTTTGGTGGGAGATTCTGTGGAGTGTGTTTGCCCTTCCTCCTGTGTCTGGGTCCTGCTCATTTTCATTGCTTCTCGTTCCTCCTTGCGTCTCTGTACCCTCTCCTTCAGTGTAGTCCTTTCTTCTTGTGTTCTGTCGCGGTCGAGGTATACTCTCTGGTACCCCTCTTTGTCCCTCAGTCTTGCTTTCTCTTGCAGAATCCTGGTTCGAACTGATTCTTCCTTGAAAGTTACTCTGACAGGCCGTATCCTTCCACTCGCAAACCACCCAATTCTCTGAAAATTTGTCACCTGGGTCATATTGCCCTCCCCTATTGTTTTCATGATGCCTTCAATCATTTTTTTCTCCTCCTGTTTTATTTCTTCAAAGTTGGCCCCCTTGGCTTCTTGGAGCCCATACACAAAAACTTACCTCGCCCTTTCCTCCTCCCACTGAGTCTCCATCTGTGTGTGTGTGTGTGTGTGTGAGGGAGGGATGGTTATGGAGGGGGGGGGTAGGTGGTGTGGTTTAAAGATCCGTTATACCTTTCTGTCGTGTAGGCTCAAAATTTAGTCCCAACTGTCTTTCCTAGTAATGCTACTCTCTCCACTTATTGCCCTTTCTGGATTTAAGTATCAATTATTGCTGGTTATTATCTTATTCCTTGTTCACATTGAGAGAGGACTTCCTAGCTTGCTAAGTATTCTTACTGCTAATAACTACTGGTAGTAATACTACCTAACCCCTATGTTACCCCTCGCTAGACTGCTGTCCTTCCACACTCGTCAACACTATCTTACTTTATCTAAGCTATTTCTACTCTAATTCTGTAATAGCTTGCAGGAGTGACCAGTATCTAACAGTGATGCAAGGCCAGAAGCCTGAGCCTGCAACATGCAAACCACAAATAGGTGAGTGATACTTGCGCTGGCAACGGTGCGGTGACAAGCTGCCAGATGCTGATTCCAAGTCATCGTACGTAGGCCTTAAATGCCTATTTTGGAGATCCTTCACCTGTGATGTTTATAACCATATGTGCTCATGCATCCCGCGTTCCTCACGCGATTTCACTTTTCACTTATGATAGAATACACTTCACATTATATACACTTCACTTTATATGTATAATGGCACACAGCTTGTCGTGACGTCACTGCTTCAGCAGGCCTACTGCTGCCACCTTCCCTTGTTATATATTTTATTTTTCCTTTCCCCTTTTGCTTATTAGCTTTTTCACTCTCACTGTATGGTGCCCCACATTTCATTTGTTAGCCAAATGCTGGTAATTCTTGAACACCCACTTCCACACTCACTTTGATCTTTGTATGTTTGAATCTGTGTGGCAACAGCGCCTATTAGACCCACAACGGTTTGGCGCTTTGAAATATTGATGATTTTTAGACTTCCTCTCAACTTTTTTTAACTAATAACTTTAGTTATCACTCGTAGTATTGTTCACTGACGATGTCACTACCACTGATTACTGCTAGCAGTTACTGCACGCCTTAAAAACACTAGGGTTCTCTGAGCCTTGTGTACCCACGTCTGCACCCACGGACCCACGCTGTGTGTCAAGTGTTATAGTGTCATATTGTTATAGTGTCACCATCACTGTATGTCTAGTGTTATAGTGTCACCATCACTGTATGTCTAGTGTTATAGTGTCACCATCACTGCATGTCTAGTTTTATAGTGTCACCACTGTATGTCTAGTGTTATAGTGTCACCATCACTGTAGGTCTAGTGTTATAGTGTCACCATCACTGTTTGTGTAGTGTTATAGTGTCACCATCACTATGTATAGTGTCACCATCACTATGTCTAATGTTATAGTGTCACCATCACTGTAGGTCTAGTGTTATAGTGTCACTATCACAGTATGTCTAGTGTTATAGTGTCACTATCACTGTATGTCTAGTGTTATATTCTCACCATCGCTGTATGTCTACTGTTGTGTCACTATCGATGTATGTTTAGTGTTGTGTCATCATCACTGTATGTCTGTTGTAGTGTCACCATCACCACCATTGCAAATGAGCACTAAATATGTATGTGTGTTGTGTTATTTCAGATGCCAACATCTCAACAAGTTCAACAAATTAAGTGGAGTCTACAATGGTGCCTAACAAACCCTCCAATTGGCTCTCCCATTGCTCCTCCTGGGATGTTTATTGTAGTTGTCTCCTGCAACAAAATACTCTTCTTTGTAAGTAGTATATGTTTTGTGTGTCTTGGCTGGCCTCAGTAGCTTTGCATCTACAATTTACACTGTAGTTGCAATTAATGTTGGTGGTGGTATAAAAAGGTGTATGTACATGTATGCTCAAGTGTATACACATCCAAGTGTATGTGTGAAGTAATGGTGGTGGTGTCATTATGCAGAAAATAATCATTCAATAAATTAGAAAGCTTTGGTGCTATAACTGATATAATTGAGAGTGAAAGATGGCTGCTTTGCATTGTTTACTCTTGTAGAAGAGTGCAAGGTACTTGGATTAAGAGTTAAAAATGTGGAATGGATGGAAAGAGGTGGAGTGGACTAATATATTATAGGAAACAGGTCTGAAAATATATTTGTGTAAGGTAGTACAGGTCCGCCATCACAAATCCGGCAATCAGTTATTCGGTTCCTTCAGTTATTCGGCACTAATTTTGGCTAGCATAATTTCAAATTTCCAGGGTCACTACACCAACCTGCTGGTACTGTTTGGTGGCGCTACTTGCTGCATAAGTCATTCCAATTTCTTTTCCTCCATTTATTGTTTTAACCTGCTTACTTTTAGCCCTAGCCATGGTTCCAATGAATAAATGAAATGCTTCTCATTATGTAAAGCACCTACACAGTACATTATCCATTAAAGATAAGGTGGCTTTGAAGCCACTGTCGGTTGTCCTGAGCTCAGTCTCTTGAAGCAGGAGAATATGCTTTATTACGCTAATATCAACATTACAGCTTATTTGCCTATCACAATTGATCTAATATGACGTAAGAAACAATATAAATAACATAAAACATGTTAAATACTCCAGAATGAATAATATTTGTCATAACACCGAGCAGTTCGACGGAGGTATGAAGAGGATGTGGTATACAAATACCATTCTCCTATCCCTGTCTTGGTGGCTTATATTAGAGAAAACGGACTATAGCACAGGGCTAACTGTGATATACACTTGTACTGCACCATGAACCTGAAACAAAAAAGTTATTTTCTCTTTATAGATTATCCCCCCAATGAAAAGCAGGGGTGTCACTAGCACGTTAAGAGACCATACAATAAGTGTCAGGGGCCCAAGACTGTTCAACTGCCTCCCAGCACACATAAGGGGGATTACCAACAGACCCCTGGCAGTCTTCAAGCTGGCACTGGACAAGCACCTAAAGTCAGTTCCGGATCAGCCGGGCTGTGGCTCGTACGTTGGTTTGCGTGCAGCCAGCAGTAACAGCCTGGTTGATCAGGCTCTGATCCACCAGGAGGCCTGGTCACAGACCGGGCCGCGGGGGCGTTGACCCCCGGAACTCTCTCCAGGTAAACTCCAGGTATCACACATAGCAGCATATGTGTAGAGAACCTAGGATAACCCAAAAAAAGTCAACGTGGCTTATTTTTAGTACCTGGCTTGGGTTAGCCATATATGATTTTTGGTAAATATTCGATTCCCAGCCAGGGTAGAAACATTAGGTGTGTTTCTTTACACCTGTTGTCTATGTTTACCCATCAGTAAATGGGTACCTGGGTGTTAGTCGACTAGTGTGGGTGTTATCCTGGGACACTGACCTAATTTTCTTGAAATACTCTGCATAACAAGTGGCTTTCTATATAGTAGTATGTCACTGATGTCAGCTAGGCCTGTATACCTTGTACATGTACGTGTAGTAAATAAAGATATTATTATTATTATTATTATTATTATTATTATTATTATTATTATTATTATTATATTATTTTTTTTTATTTTTCGTTGTTTGTTGGGTTTTTTATTAAACTTGGGCAAGTTGGGGAAAGATATTTTCATGTACACCAAAATGAAGAAATCAGCCATAAATGTGGGTTCCCCTTCCGATTAGGGGCCCGCTTAGGGGTTCATTTTTTTTGGGTTTTTGGTTAATTCTCTTTTTTCGGTTCATTTGATAAAATGAAGGATATATTCAAAAAATGATATGATTTTGTTGTTTTTCATGATGAAAAGTCCCTTTGGAAATTGTGTCAAGTAGCGAAAATGTTCATTTTTGCAAAAGCTAAAGAGTAAAAAGTGACGTCACCCCCAATGCCTGTCCGCCCCCAGCCCAAAATCCATAGGAGTAAAGATGGCTTGACATTATTTATACGATTATTAAAATAATGCAGCAGTTGCATAACAGAAAATCTTTATTTTTTTTTTTGAATAAAAATTCCAAATAAAAAGAAAGGAAATAAGGGGCCCCCCCGTTTCGATGGCTGGTTTTTCAAATAAATCCGGTATTCGAGCATTATATCGCAAAAATTTTGCCTTGGTATCGACGAAAACCCGTATTGATATGATTCATATGAGAGTGTCCAGTGGGCTAAACTGCCCCGTGTGTGCCAGTGTTTAAAGCCCCCCAGTGTGCGCGATTTTAGGTACTTCGGTACATTCCATTTTCACTGTTTTTTGGTGCTTTTTTTTTATTATTATCACCCCGGCGATTCCCACAAGGCGGGTGGCCCGAAAAAAAAAATTTTCCCTCTTCACTCCATACTGTCGTCCCCCCAAGGAAGGGTTCCCTTTTGTTGGTGGGGGCTCTTATTTTGGGGAAATTTGGGTTGTGCTCAGTTCCCCAAATTTAAACTGAATGCCCTTCCCAAACCCCCCCCCGCTGTTTAAACTCCGGGTTTAGCGTTCCCCCCCTTTATTGTAATAATAATCCAACATGTCTTGCCCGAGGATGCTTTTCATACAGTTTTTAAAAATGCAACATTAAACCCCTCCTCAGAGTGAGGCACTGTACTTCCCCTTCCAGGATCAAGTCCCGCCCGCGGTTTCCTGAACCCCCTTTTAAATGTTCTTTGCCACACTCCAACGCACTCAAGTTTAAAAACATTTGTCTCCATTACTCCTATCAAAAAAACCCCACGCATGCCGCTGGAAATCCAAAGCCCGCACACAAAACTCTTTACCCCTCTCCAACCTTTTGGCCCACCCCACCCCCCCCTTCCCTTTCCCTCGACTGATATACTTTTAAGTCTTTTTGTTTGCTCATTCTCTCTAATGTTTCGAACCCCCTCAACAACCCTTTTTCGCCCCCTGGACAACGTTTTGGTAATCCGCCCTCCTCCTATTCCAAATACGAATTCCTTTCATTTATTACACCACCATTGCCCTCAGAAATGAAATCTCCACTGCCTCCCGCCTTCTCCTCGCTGCAACATTCATCACCATGCCTCACACCCATATAAGAGCGTTGGTAAAACTATACTCTCATACTTCCCCTCTTTCCCTCCAGGAAAAAGTTCTTTGTCTCCACAGACTCCTAAGTGCACCACTTACTCTTTCCCTCATCAATTCTATGATTCACCTCATCTTTCATAGACCCATCGCTGACACGTCCACCCCCAAATATCTGAATACATTCACCCCCTCCATACTCTCCCCCTAAATCTGATATTCAATCTTTCATCACCTAATCTTTTTGTTATCCTCAAAACCCTTTAAACTCTTTCCTGTATTCACCTTTAATTTTCTTTTTTTGCACACCCTACCAAATTCATCCACCAATCTCTGCAACTTCTCTTCGAATCTTCCCAAGAGCACAGTGTCACAGCAAAGAGCAGCTGTGACAACTCCACTTTGTGTGTGATTCTTTATCTTTAACTCCACGCCTTTGCCAAGACCTCGCATTTACTTCTCTTACAACCCCCTCTATAAATATATTAAACAACCACGGTGACATCACACATCCTTGTCTAAGGCCTACTTTTACTGGGAAAAAATTTCCTCTTTCCTACATACTCTAACTTGAGCCTATATCCTCGTTTAAAAAATCTTCACTGCTTTCAGAACCTAACCCCCTACACCATACACTTGCAACATCTGCCACATTGCCCCCCTATCCACCCTGTCTACGCCTTTTCCAAATCCATAAAAAGCCACAAAGACCTCTTTAGCCTTATCTAAATATGTTCACTTTTATGTTTCACTGTAAACACCTGGTCCAACACCCCCTACCTTTCCTAAAGCCTCCTTGTTCATCTGCTATCCTATTCTCCATCTTACTCTTAATTCTTTCATTAATAACTCTACCATACACTTTACCAGGTATACTCAGCAGACTTATCCCCCTATAATTTTTGCACTCTCTTTTATCCCCTTTGCCTTTATACAAAGGAACTATGCATGCTCTCTGCCAATCCCTAGGTACCTTACCCTCTTCCATACATTTATTAAATAATTGCACCAGCCACTCCAAAACTATATCCCCACCTGCTTTTGTGCTTTGGTGCTTGTTTCTGCAAAATAAGTCACCATGGGCCCCAAGAAAGCTTCTAGTGCCAACCCTTTGAGAAAAAAGGTTCTAATACTATTGAAATGAAAAAAAAGAATAACTGCATGTCGAAATGGGGTGCGGTGTGGAGGTGGTCAGGTTGTATGTAAATCCCAATCAACCCTCTCTCTATAGTGACCCGGAAAATGGGGAATCAAGGAAGCGTTCTTGCAAAAAAGGTGCAACTGTGTACGAAACCGACTGCAAGTGTTAGAAAATGTTTAGAGTGTTATTGGTGTGGGTAAATGAAAAACAGATGCAGGGGATAGCATCTCTCAAACATCATTGTGAAAATGCAATTAGTGTTTGCCTCCCTACACCTTCGGGTAAACCAAGGACTCGTTTTGGTCTTCCTATTATTTTCCGTTTCCCTTGGGAACAAAACTTTCCTCTGCCTCTTTGCACTTTGTTGCCACATATTCCATCATCTCGTTTACTGATTTTCCTAACCATTTCTCTGTCCACTGAACATCTGCAGGTGTTTTCTCATACCTGTGTATGTCCCCCCTTTTTATAGTTTGGCCTGTTCCCCTTCAGTTACTGTTACCTTCTCCACTTGTTAACTTACTATATAGTCAAAACTCAGAACCACATGATCGCTAGCTCCAAGCGGGGGCCTCTCCATAAGTGATGTCTCAATGTCTGAACTGCTCAGGGTGAACACATGATCAGTCTTGCGGGCTCATCCTCCCCTCTCTCTAAGG